CGTACCTTCCCTTAGTGCGCTTGGTTGTGTTTTTTGTCCTTTTATGTCATGTTTTCAGTGTTTATTTTGGGTCATTCTTGTACACTGAAACCCCGCTGTTTCAGACTCCTACTAAAGGACATCTCGAGGTGTGTTTTAACTTAACTGGTGTCCGTTTATTAAGATGGGTCATTTTAAAGAAGTCATGTGAGCTTTATTTTGTTTGTACAAATGAAACTTTCCATTTTATAGACGTCAGTTTTTCATGCCCAAATGATTCCTGTTTCAAGACAGCCATATTTTACCATATGTTGTTGTACTTGTGGCCTTAGAAATAGGACATCAATTACAAATAGAGATTTCATTCGTCCCGTTTCACTGAGCGTGCTCAATGCGAAGCCGGAGCAAGGAAACCAATTGTTTCTTTGTAGTTTTATTGGTTAAGAGTTCAGTGCTTTTTTTTTCCAATAAAACTGTATATAGGGTTCTTAGTATCAGCGCGAGGGATAAAAAAAAAATATTTCAGAGTCAAGTTCAAATAGGATGCGACTGATACATGAAAACCCTTGAAATTAGTTAATTATCTAAAGCACCAGTTAAATTTGTTTTAGAAAGATGACAGACTTCTTCCCAAGCAGTAGTCCAAAGGAAGTGGACCTAAGGGATAATACCAGTAAGTAGTCTTGTTATGTTGTCTTAATTAATCAATAATTAAAAAAAAGGGATGATCATGATCATGAGCCAATGACCAGCTGACACCAAAACCTTCAATACTTTTATTCAAAAGTACACATTATAAGATGAATCTCTCCCATGAATCGATTATTTCTATGAAATAACCTAGTGTACCATTATTTCGGGTTTTTAAGTGGAAAAAGTACAATTACTTTATATGATTCATAAAAGAACAAATCTTATCCTGCTCTCCATGATGTTTTTGCGAAATATCATATTTGATACATGGGTAGTGTAGAGTTTAATATGCGTATCTAAACAACGGATTAAACCGGATTACACCGCGGTCCTTAACTCTCCGACTCCAGACTCTCTTCTTTTCGTTCCTATCCTATAATAGTCTTTTAAATATCCCGGCATACACTACAACCCCTCCTCTCCTAAAGAGAAAACTTAACATAACGAAACAACATGAACGGGTCAAAACGTCTCCAACATGAGCCGGATTAAAGTGTTCAGTAAAAAGTCACTCTGAGAGCATCAATACACTACCAATATGAAACTTAAATAAAATGTTCAATAAGGTGTCTTTCTGAACTGGCAAATGTGTTTCTAACGCGAGCCTTATCAAGTGTTCGGTAAACTAATTAAAATGTTCAATAAATGTTCAACAAAGTCTCACTCTTTCACCGAACAGAGTTCGTACACTTCGTAATCTTTTAAGTACTCCGGTGGCCTCCTTTCCCTTACTGGTCTCCCTTGGGGTTCTGTTCTCCTTCCAGTGTCATCTTCCTCGGAAGAGTCATCTTCAGCAACTTGTTCATCTGCGGTTGTATCCTCTCTCAAGTATTTCTTAACATCGGCCACGTTTCTCCTCATGTTTACTCCTTCGGGTGACGATATGATGACCTCGTTACCGTGCTTCTTGCTGATGGTATATGG